GCGCGTGAACGAAGTTCATCTTTTGTTTGGCCTCCTGCCAGTGATTCAGGACCTCAGCTTGGACCAGTTGCTTGATCGATTTCGCTGCTTCGCCTTCCTCTACCAGTGCCCCTTTCAGCTCCAACATGCACCTCCACCACCAGATCACCCAAAGAAGTGATCGCCTGCCCACCCGAAACAGGTTCTCTGTGAGTCTATGAGGGGGTCATCCGGGCAGTGCCGCCATCCCGTTATCACCGCTCTCCAATCCCATGGCCACTCCTGATCTGGTATAATCTGCCGCCATATCCTGTCCCACCACCTCCACAACAGCACCGACGAGGGACACTGCATAAAGATGTGTTCAATTGTCTGTCCTTTTTTGCGGTGAGTACTTCTGCAGACACCTCCGGCACCATTGGTGTTGCCCATCCTTGTTGCTCTAACCTCGAGTGGTCGATCAGCCAATGGTTAGTTGGGAGGCAGCGATGGGCAATTTGTCATTGGAGGGCTGAGATCTTTGCTGGCCTCACGTCCCGGAACCATTTGATGGGGCGGAGGAGGAGCAGATCAATGTTCACGTGGCGCTGCCATCTATCCTCTATCCTGTCCCGGAGCTCCCTCTTGGGCCGGAGATTATGTACGGCTTTTTGGCCTCATGTCAACCGGTGCCAGCGACCCCCACTCAGCGGGGTCCAAGGCCAGCTCTGTGATTGGCATCATTGGTTGGAAGGCCCTCCAATCATCTCCAATATTCAGGACTCTGATGTGGTAGACAGTGGACCTGTCCATCCATACAAAGGACCTCAGTACACCCCTCCATATGCACGAATCCGACTCTACCTGTCCCCCGAACTTCAAATCCAGTCCCCTTCTTTCAGCTTCGGGCCCTTTCTGAGTATGTCGTACCATTCCAGCGGGAAGTTCTCAGTCATTTGCCACAGTACCTCTTCCGTGTGGGGGCAATAGTGCGACCATCGTTTCATTCTTTCCGTACTCTTCCAATCCCGGGTTTCCTCATCCCACAGGTCTCCAACCCTTAGCACCCCATGCTTGACCCACCCGCTCCACGGGGAGGACTTTTCGTCTCTGGTCTCCAGTGTGGATTTCGTGTGACCTCACAATGTGTGTGTGTGCTCAAGGTGACGAACAGTGTCAATGTGTGTGTGTGCTCAAGGTGCGAGCAGTGTTGTCCAATGCAGGGGTGAGAACTTAAGCAAGCACAGCAAGCATGTACAACTGTGTCCATACTGTAACCAGGAGGAGGACTAACATGCTGTGCAAGGGTTGGCAACCTAAAAGACCTAATGACACTCTACTTCCCTATTATGGGCAGTGGGAAGTTCTCAAGATGATTGGAGATCAGGGATGACCATCCTAGCGCTTTGACTTTCCCAGTTGCCTGTCTGTGTGTAGCATATCAGAAAGTGAAATGCACTGAGAGCCTAGGATCTAGCAATGACGAAAGTGGCAACAACCAGCAGCATAGGTGCAACATTCACAAGATGTCAGTGTGCACGATGCAAAGAGTGAACCAACGAGAAATCAACAACAACACATTCGTATCATTATCATCATGGGCTGGGAAGCAGCGCAGCGGAAGATTTAGTATCAAAAGGACACGTGGACAACAACATGAAAGGGAGTTTGCCCT